GTGGATAGGATCCGGCTTGTACTTCACGTCCAGAGCAAAGTCGGACCTACCACCGGCTGATACTTTAAATTGATCAAAGATTATGGAACATGGGTGGGATCTGGCTATACTCTGCATCAGGAGCAAAGTTGGGCCCACCATGTTCCTTTTTTGTAAAACACATAAATTACATAAACATAAAAAAACATTCCTCACTTTGTTTGCTTGTTTTTGAAAATTTCCATTGCTCCTAGCTTACGCTAAATCTTATACTGACGTCTTTTACACAATTTTGAAAGGGTAATACCTTGTGCTCAGGTATTCATTCAAAAGTATCCAGGCATCATAACACGTCAAATTCTATTATGGCATGTCCAATTTGAGTCCTCCTTCAATTCTTTCTTCTGAATCAATCTCTGGTTATAGAGTTTGTCAGGTGATTTTCACCTAATGTCTTTTGCAAGATGGTTCCTTTGGTAAAAAAAATTAATTACAGAATCTTAATACCCAGAAGCTTTTTTTGTGATTTTTTTGAATCAATTACTGCACTCATCTTAATATCGTGTAACGTATTTTCAAGGGTAATACCTTGCAGTTCTGATATGGACATATCATCCAACCATAAGTGCTGAGGTATTCTCGTGGACTGTTCAGTCACACTTCAGTTACACTTCCTGTAGGGGAAAACGTTAGCTGAGGAGTAGTGTGACTGTTTGGGTTGCTCGTTTCGGAGAACAGTTAGGGAGGTATCTGAGTCAACCAATAATATGCAGAGTGATCTCAAAATCATGCTGTGACTGTTGGCCTTCCCCAAATATCCTTCCGAAGGGCTGCAGTGTACCCCACAGAGGCCAGGGAATCTCATTGCGATCCGGGGAAGCCTTGGCAGCTGTCCGGCACTTTAGTTCCCTGCTGTATTTTGGAGCCTGTATTCCTTTAACAGTTCTCCATATGTGAATCCATTGCGGCATCCTTTCCATTTAGTATGACCACCTCTATACTGTCCCTGAGGTACATCTCAATTCAACTTCCAGAGATTGTTAGCAAAATAACATTCTTGATCATTCTGATTTTCAAATTTGTCCTTGCCCTTTAGCTAGCTAACCGCCATTATGTTTTCTGGGGCTTACTTTATTCTAGGGTGTTTCCCAGAATAGCGTAATTTTGGATATGACATCTGCAAGGCGTGTCCCTGGATCATACCATAAGTTCATGGTTTTTATGCAGCCATGTGTAGGATATAATCATAAAATTATACAGCATAGAAGAAGGCCATTCAGCCCATCATGTCTGTGCCAGCTCTTTGAAAAGATCTATCCAAATCTATGTTCTTCTTTGGTTCTGGAAACTGGGATTGATCTCATCAATCCCAGTTTCCCAAACAATGCTGATTCCTTGGGGACTGATCTCGTCAGTTTCTTATCTGCTGAACTACGGTTTTGTGTTATTCTGCAGATATTTAAATAATATTAGATCAAAGAAGATAGCAGCAATTAAGGGATTGAAAGGGAGTGTTTAAATTAAGCAGAGGCATTGTGAGAAAACAATCAAGGTAAAAAAAACACTAAATATAAGTAGTCTGAGAATCTAGTTACAAAATAGACGAGGAGGAATTGTTGATGACAAAATGTCTGGTGCTTGAACTTTGTGTATTGGGTCATGCCTTAACCATATATGGGTAAAACAGATTGAGAATCAAAGTATAAGACCTGTAGCAAGTAAAGGAATGAACAGGATCAACTCGCTTCCCAAAGAAACCACCGTGTTCCTTGTGCTAAGAGCAACCTCATTAAAATGTTCATAAACATCCTGCTTTCCATCAAATTTCAGCAATAAACTGGCCATTGCCTGTAATTGTATTGCATCATAAGGTATTCGTACCTTAGCCTTTTCTGCCTCTTCCATTGTCAAATTACACCTTTGTTTGTATCATAGGGAACATTGGAAAGGACCAGTTATTATGACTTTTTGATTTCCATGCACAGGATAGTCATCCTCATTCTTATAGTGATAGGCTTCATCATTCAATTCCCCCAATCCACTGGATCATCCTCATTCTGTTTGTCTCATAGAACAAATAATACCTCTCCTTACTGATAGTTGAGCTTTAAGCTTTTCTATTTCTTTTCGATAGACACTATGTGACACAGGATCCCCTTTTGTGGCTTTTGCCAGTGCTAATTGCATTCTAATTTCGGCTTTTAAATTACTGTTCTGTTTTTAAGTTCATAGAATCATAGAATGTTACGGCACAGAAGGAGGCCATTCGGCCCATCGAGTCTGTGCCGGCTCTCTGACAGAGCAACTGACTTTTATTAACCCCACTCACCAGCTTTCTACCCATAACCCTGCAAACCTGTCTTCTCCAGATACATATTGTTCCATAAATTATTCCATATTTCTGAACGATTCATTTTTCTTGTCACCCCTTTCCCGTGCTTGCCTCATAATATCAGTTGCCTGTACCTGATAATATTTGGTGTGAACTTCTAAACTGTGTATTCTTTTGTTGCAATATTGCAGTCTCCTCTCCTCTATTTCCATAATATCCCTAAGCTCGCTGATGGTATCTCGGTGTAACTGAATCTCAGCCAAGGCATCCTAAAGTTCAAGTTCCCTCACTTTGACTTCTACCTCTAACATCTTTCTCCTTTCCTTTTCAAACAAAGATTTAATAAGGAGTAAGAGAATGGAGCCCAGGAAGCCCCCGGGAATAATCAGCCACTTGAACGATTAATCCACCATGTCTCAATGTAACTGGCACACAAACCAACGATCAACCACCAACTCACTAAATGTAACTCATCAACTTAAAACAAATACTCAATTTCTAAACTTGCATTCCATTAAAATTTGTATTTGTCCAACTTCAACACAACAGGGTGCCTGTTCTGGCACCAATTGTAAGGGTTAAATAAATTTATGACCCTACAGTGAAGTAAGCACCGACACAAGTTTTGTTTTAAATAGTAAAATGTAATAAAAGATTATTAAGGAAAATGCATATCAAAAGTTATACGTTTCATCAAACAGGTTAGTAACAGTCAGGGATTTGGATCTAAGCTGGGGATCGGGATTGGGGAGGTTTAGGGCAGGGGGAGTAGGAAGGTGGTCGAAGAGTAGGATTTTGAGATGCGCCTTGAAGAAGGCGAGAGAGCAAGGCAAAGGGAATGTGGGATGGAGTTCCATAGGGTGGAGGCAGAAACGGTGAAATCCTGACCGTTGACGTTGGGGCAGTGGAACGTAGATCAGGCCACAGCCTGCTGAGAAGAGGGAGCGGACAGATTGATGTGAGGTTAGCAGGTCGTAGTGGTAGGGAGGAGCAAGGCCCTTAACCAGTGGAGCCGGGCGAGAGTGGGGTTGATGGCCTCACGGAGCCTGGTGTTAGAGAGGACACGAGATGCAGAGTCCAGTTTCTTGACTTCCACCACTATTTTTTCTAACGCATACCAATTCTTGATGAATCTTTTTATGAAGAAATACTTTCTTGTCTGTTCTACAATTGCCCTCCATAATCCTAAATTTGTGTCCTCTTTATACTCTCTACTAGGTGTACCCGTTGCAGCTACGCTTGCAACCAAAGGATCCCCAATATGGAATGTAGATTTCAGTGATACCACTTATAAACCATTTAACATGTCATAAATACTGTGTGTACACCTTAAGCAAATCGATTGTAGATACTGACCTCATAATTTTTGTATGCTCATTTTTAGAGCTGCCATTTTCAGTGATACTACTCACAAATTGGTTTACATTCCATCAACCCTGTGTGCATACCTTAAGCAAAACTGCCATACATGTGTGATGAGCTTGTTTAGGTCCTAGCTCACCAACGTTAGGAGATATCCCCCAAACAATATGCCCATGATACTCCTCCATGTTACACCTTTCCGATGAGGTATAAATCGTGTTTCTACGACAATCGGTTGTTGTGTTATTGGAGGACAGAAACACAGGCCTTACTGAGCCAACCATCACCCTCCACTGGCCCAACTCCGATATGGTGCTGCCCAGGAGCAGCAGGAAAAGCCACCTTACCACCGCCATCTTGTTCCCGCTGCTTCACTTCGTCTGAGTGCGGGCCGCGTGCCACAGCACCACTGGGAGTCGGTGTGGCCACCAGGTGTGACTGCAGCATACGTGTAACTGCCATAAATGTGTGATTAGCTTTTGCTTAGGTCATAGCTCATCAGCGGTAGGGAATACCCCCAAAAATATATGCCTATGACCTCTCCACCCCCCCTTCCTCCATCCAGTGAGGTACAAATCATGTCTCTGCGATAATCAGTTATTCAGTTCTTGGCTGTCACACATATATACACACAGACATTACATCTTTATTAGTATTAGAAGAAGATAGATTTACAGCCTTCTTTTTCCAGGGTCTGTAGAAGTGACAAAACTGTTAAAGCTAGTACTTGAAATAGAGCGCTCCTGTATGTTTTAAAACATTTCTCTTAGTCAAACATTTGCCTCCCTGCAAATGTCCCTCCAAGAGACTGGGATGGAAAAAAATATATCTAATTATCCAAACTATCTTAAAGTCACCCCATGTCAATAAAATTTAAAAATCCAATGTTTTGTTTTCAAATTTAAGTGATTTTGTGCTTGTTTACTTTTTCCATATTTTGTTGTTGTATGACACCCTTAATTGATGTCTGCATACCTCACACATTCATGGAGATTTGCAATGTAGCAGCTGGTACACGCTTGTTCTTGTGCGTAAGGATTTACCCACAAGTGTTGCTGATTGTCTGCGTATAACATTGCATCAAAGGCTATCTATATAGTTTACGGCCACACTGATGAGTGGAGAACCTCGTCACAGCTTTTCTTGTGGAGCACTTGTTCCACTCAGTGGAACAACTAATAATGGGAGAACTGGGGTGTTTATTGAAATCTCAATGGGGAGCCAATGTGATCTATTGTACCAAATGTTTCTAAGCTTTTTAAAATATATAATATGGATGCAATCATTTTATATGTTGTTTATTGTAAACATTGTGCTTTTTTTTCAGCGAAAATGGGAAAGAAGCAAGGTAGCAAGACAAAAAAGTCTGAAGATGTGCAGCCTGAAGAATACATTGTCGAACGAGTGTTAGACAGACGGGTTGTACAAGGAAGGGTTGAATACCTTTTGAAATGGAAAGGTTTTACAGAGTAAGCAGATGTATTGCAGAGGTGACCTTTTTAGTGATGTGTGAATCGGTTGTGTTTTTGTGTTGAAATTTCGCTCTCTGAAATATCTTCTCAAGCTCTGAAATAAAATTAGACGTGATGATGTTTAATTTGAGTGACATATTTAAGATAAACAATGGCCACCATTATATTAAAGATATCTCACCTTCTCAAATAAATGCAATTAAATGACTAGTCTCTTGCTGGCTTCTTTGGTAGACCTGCAATTTGACATCAATCATTGTACTATGCATTGTGCAAGCCTGATGATAACAAATTTCCTACAGGTTTCTGTTGCATCTAGTTGCTAGATTTGGAAAACTATTGTGTTCTAATGAGTTTAAAAGTTAATTTCCAAAAGTTAACTTAAACTTTATGGAAGTCAATATTTTAGTTTTTTTTTAAAAAACTTGCCTTCGCCAATTTAAGTCTTTTTGCAGAGAGCAACAACATAGTTTAACTTCTCATAATGTAATTGTTAAAATAATTAAGAGTCTGCACTGTTGAAGTATTTGGAGCTCTGTAACATCAGTGGTTTCCGCTTAATGTATCATTGGGCCCTAGCTAGTACATCTCTAATAGAGATTCAATACAAATTGAATTGAATGTTTCTCAGATGCCAGCATGTGCCACTGAGTTCTGAGTAACGTAGCCAATTTTATAATGTTCCAGATTGTGAGTTCTGGTCTTTGCCACTTTCCAGGGATTAATAATCTTTGCATTTGATATAGTGACTTATCGCCTCTTCTAGACGTCCCAAAGATTGTACTGAATACACAAGAGCGCTCCAATCATATCTGCTGCTGGCAGCCTAAAGACTGGTATTTCATGAAGCATTTGAGAAGGGTTCCCTGATCACATTTTGGAGGAAGTGATGCAAAACCTAAGATACTGTATGAGAAAGAAGTAAAGAGCTTTCCTTTTATCCTACCGCCCATCCCATTACATAGATAGTGATTTGTGAAGATTGCTTTCACAAGGGCTGACTAATTTGGTGCCTTTGCCTAAATGGCTGTTCAATTTGTCAGTTTAGACTGTTAGTGTTAGTGGTGTTAGCGGATATTTGATTATAGCTGAGCCAACTGGAATCTCGAGCCTAATGGAGTCCTGTAGCTCAGTGGTTAGAACACTTGCATCGCAAGCGAGAGGACCTTGGTTTGATTCCCAGGCAAGGCAAAATATTGGGTAAGTTTCCTTACGCCATATGCTTCAGTAACTAGGAACCTGGTTGTTTGTCGATTGGCGGATCACTTTTCCGGGGGTAATAATTCCTTCAAAAAATAATAATAAATTGGTCCTTCAATGCACAACTGTTTGTGGAGCACTGCTGTGCGCAATTGGCTGCCACGTTTTGCCCACAAAATATAGTCAATTCACTTTACAGTATATTCTGTGAAGCGCTTTGAGATGTCTCGAAAACTTGATAAGATGCTATATCAAATGCAAGAATTATTATTATTGTATGTGTCAACGTGTATAATATTCAAGTGGGGGAATTGTAGGATATGAATAGAGGGACTAGCCAAAATAAAAAGGAAGGAAAATGAAAAGGCCAAATTTAATGCCTTTATCTAGCGTCCTGTCACTGTTTCATCTTAGATTAGCTAATGGTGAGTATGGTTTGAATACAATTTTAGTGAAATTTAAACCTCTGGCATTCTGCAAAGCAAGAAATTGATATACTGGGAGGAATAAGACTTTAACCTGGTTGCTCCATTGCTGAAATAAGATGGTGCCTCTTAATGTTTTATATTCATTTATAATGTCCAAGATAACATTTTTAATGTTTTTAGGAATTTATATGTGTAATTGGCTATACAGTACCGGAGTCGTATTTTCGTGTACAACTTCCAGAAGTTTTACCTCTGGAATTGATCTGGTTTTGCGGAATGATGAGATTGGTGTAAGAATTCTGCTTAGTTTTCATCTCTTTTTCTTCCCTCTTTGCTATTCTTTTGTATCTTAAGGATCAGCTGGGTGTTTGGCTTGCTGCTGCTATTTGCTGTCCACATAGAGCAAGTGGCATAATGGAGGCACTCCTATTTTCTCACTGTATGACCGGAGGCAACAACCAAAATCTGGAACTCTCTAAGTGGTGCTTAATATGCCATTAATGTTAAAATTAATTTGGAGTCCTGTAGCTCAGTGGTTAGAGCACTCGCTTTGCAAGCAAGAGATCTGAGTTCAATTCCAGGCAGGGCGAAATCTTGGGCAAGTTTCCTTACTCCACACGCCTAATAATAATCCCTCCAAAACCAAAAACAATAATAAATTGGTCATTTTCAATCTACGACTGTTTGTGGGACAGTGCTCTGCGCAATTGGCTGCCGCGTTCGCCCACAAATATGCAGTCAATTCACTTTACAGTGTGTTCTGTGAAGCCCTTTGGGACGTCCTCCTGACGTGAAAAGCGCTATATCAAATGCAAGGATTATTATTATTATTATTATTAATGTTGAGTTGGTGCTCCAATAAACAAAATTGTCAGGTTGCCTGGTTCCTTGTGCGTTTGGTAATATTTGCACTTACATACTATGTAACCTGCTATGCATAGCAGCTTAGTTCATCTGATTATGAAACTGTAGAACTAGTAATCTATTATGGTATGCTGAAGGCATTGACATCTGTGGAAATGTAAAGAATCCAGTTAGATATCACTTAAGTAAATCTTCACCAAAATCTAATGTAAACATTTCCTGAAGGTTGGTTGGTAAACCAATAATTCAACTTTTGTATTTTGTACATGAGTATTGGATTGTTGCCTCATAGATCCTTTGAAAATTAGTAATAGCCAACATCAGTTTCTAGAATGTCACAACAAAAATAAACATTTCAGAATCTGTTTTCATAAAAACAATTTGACTGTAAAACTGATTGAGGGGCCATTTTGAGTGTTTTATGCATTATATGTGCTGATAAATGGAATTTATTACAAGTCTTAAGTTAATTGTTGTTTGCATCTCTGAACTTATATGATATTCATGGATATGAAATTCATGTTAATATGCAGGTTAATATCATAGAATTATACAGCACAGAAGGACGCCATGCGGCCCATCGTGTCTTTGCCGGCTCTTCAAAAAAAAAGCTTTCCAAATCAATTCCACTCCTCCGCACTCCGTAGCCCTGCAAACCTGTCCTCCCCAAGTTATTATCTACTTCTCTTAAATGTTGTTATCAAATTGACTTCCACTACCCTTTCAGGCAATGCATTCCAGATCCGAACAACCTGCTGCGTAAAAAAAATCTAATTTCCCCTCTTTCCTTCAACAACTATTTTAAATTGATGTCCTCGGGTTACCGACCCACCCACCAGTGGAAATAGTTTCTCCTTGTTCGCCCTATCGAATCCCCTCATAATTTTGAAAACTTCTATTAAGACTCCTCTTAACCTTCTCTGCTCAAAAGAGAATAATCCTAACTTCTCTAGTCTCTCCTGATAACTGAAGTCCCTCATTCCTGGAACCATCCTGGTGAATCTTCTTTGCATCCTCTCCAATGCCTTGACATCATTCCTAAAGTGTGGTGCCCAGAACTGAACACAGTTCTCCAGTTGAGGCCTAACCAGTATTTTATAAAGGTTCATTATAACTTCCTGACTTTTGTATTCTATGCCCCTATTTATAAAGCCTAGTATCCCGTGTGCTATTTTAACAGCTTTATCTACCTGCCCTGCCACCTTCAAAGATTTACTTATATGAACGCCCAGGTCTCTCTGTTCCTTCACCCCCTTTAAGATTGTGCCATCAGTTTATATTGCGTCTCCTCATTCTTCTTCCCAAACTGCATCACTTTGCATTTCTCCACATTAACCACATCTGCCACATGTCTACCCATTTTACCAGTCTGTCTATGTCCTCTTGCGGTCTGTTACTATCCTCCTCACCATATACTATTCCTAGCTTGGTATAATTTGTAAACTTGGAAATTGTACTCCCTATACCCAATTCTAGGTCATTTATATAGATCAAAGAGAGTAGTGGGCCTAGAACTGGCCACTGGGGGATGCCACTGCACACTTCCCTCCAGTCGGAAAAACAACCGTTCACCACCACTCTCTGCTTTCTGTCTCCTAGCCAGTTCTGTATCCATGTTACCACTGTCCTTTAATATTGTGGGCTTCTATTTTGTTTACAAGTCTCTTGTGTGGCACTTTATCGAACGCCTTTTGCAAATCCATATAAACTACATCAATTGCAGTACCTTCATCTTCCCTTTCCGTTACTTCATCAAAACACTATCAGGTTTGTTCAACACGATTTGCCTTTTAACAAATTTGTGTTGTATTTTTCTAAGTGAAAATTTATTTTGTCCCTGATTAGCGTCTCTGGAAGTTTCCCCATTACTGATGTTAGGCTGACTGGCCTCTAATTCCCAGGTTTATCCTTCTGCCCCTTTTTGTGCAGGGGAGTAACATTTGCAACCCTCCAGTCCTCTGGCACCACCCCGGTGTCCAAGGAGAATTGAAAGGTTGTGGCCAGAGCCTCCGCTATTTCCACCCTTACTTTCCTCAGTAACCTAGGATGCATCCCGTCTGGATCGGGTGACTTATCTACCTTGAGCACCATCAATCTTTTTAGTAACTCCTCTCTGTTTATTTTTATTCTATGCAATTTTGTTATCCTCTCCTTTGATACTGTGGTGTTTAGCTGCATCCTTTTTTGCGAAGACAGGTGCAATATACTCATTCAGTACATCAGCCATGCCATCTGCCTTCACAAGAAGATTTTCTCTTTGGTCCCTAATTGGTGCCACCCTACCTTTGACTAATCTTTTATTCTTTATATATTGGTAAAAATACCTTAGGGTTCCCTTTTATGTTACCCTCTAATCTTTTCTCATACAATCTCTTTGCCCCTCTTATTTCCTTTTTCAGTTCTCCGTACTTTCTATATTCTATTTGATTATTTTCTGTATTTTTGGACTTGACATTTATCAAAAGCCTCCTTTTTCTGTTTTATTTAAATCTTAATTTCCTTAGTCATCCAGCGAGGTTTGGATGCCCTACCTTTCCGCTTTGTGGAAATGTATTTGTTCTGTTCCCGAACTATCTCCTCCTTGAAGGCTTCCCTTGCTCGTTAGCTGATTTACCTGTCAATAACTCACTGAAATTAGCCTTCTTCTCCAATTGAGTATTTTCACCTTTGATTGTTCCTTGTCCGTTTCCATAAGTACTCTAAACCTAATGATCACTGTTGTCCAGATGCTCTCCTACTGAAACCTGCTCCGCTTGCCCCACTTGAGGGGTGACTACCTCCTGAAATGTTTGATCCATGAATTCTTCAGCCTCCCGTATGCTATGTAGTGACACCAGCCTCTCCTCGAGCTCAGAAACCCTGAGCTCAAGCTCGAGCAGCCGGAGGCACTTCCTACACACATGTTTATCCAGGGCACACAAAGAAACCTGGAGTTCCCACATGGCACACATTGTGCTTGCAACTGGTCTCAGCTGCCCCGCCATATTTCCAGACGTGTTTTATATTATTTTAATATCAATATTATATTTTATAATTATGCACCTCTTTTCCCTTCTGCACCAAATTCCCACTCTCACCAAATTCCTGCACAGAATTCCCATTCTGTTCTGTCCTAACTCAAGTCCGTCCTTGCTCCGCTGGGCTCTCTGCCACTAGTAGATTTGGGATGTTGTACTTTATCATATCAAATGCAAGTATTATTATTATTTAACTGAAACACATCTTATGGCAGTAGTGTTGGATTAATCATAACTGAATTGTTACTAGAAACACCTTCCAAGTATTATCCTAGTAAGGTGTGAAAATGTAAAGGATAACCAATATGTAGTTCAGAAATCTGTGATTGGTGTGAGGAGAAATTCCAAACGTGGATGCCATAACTATTATACAATATTCAGTCTTAGAGAAATGTACATTTGAGTACTATACAAAATACGTTTTTTATTGGAATCCACTTGCATTTATGTTTCCAGATATTTGCATATTTGTTGGACCTAACTTATCATCTAATTTAGTAACTGGACTTCTAAAATGCAACTGTAAAGCATTTAAACATATTACATTGTTTCCTCTTATTGAGCCAGTGTGAATATTGATTATATAATTAATTAAAACTGTTTCAGTGCTGACAATACTTGGGAACCCGAAGACAATTTGGACTGCCCGGAGCTAATTCAGGAGTTTTTGGATTCACAGAAGGCCACCAAAGAACGAACTGATGGATTCAAGAGAAAATCTCTCTCTGAAACTGAAAATGAAGAAAACAAGCCAAAGAAGAAAAAAGATCCAGTAAGTATTTTCAGTAAATTTGTGTTTGCAAATTAGTATTTTTATTTCGTTGAAACTTTTGTTGCTCTTTTTCCTTCCATAACATAACATGTAGGAGTAGGCCATTCGGCCCTTCGAGCCTGCCCTGCCATTCAATTATGGCTGATCTTCTAATCTAACTCCAGCTGATAACCTAACCCTGCCTTACCCCATATCCCTTAATCCCGTTTGCAATAAGAAATCTATCTATCTCAGTCTTGAATATAACATATTCCAAACCATTCTTCCAAATTCAGTCGTACAAGACATTGCTAGGTCCAACATGGTGGCCTGCAAAAGATTTATTTAACTTCAGTCTCATTCTGTAAATTGCTTAAAAGCTTTTCTTTCTCATGGCTGGCATCTTAGAAATGCGAGTTATTGTGATTGAGTACAGAAGGGTTTTGTTTCAGTCCAGACTGGCATTGGTAACCACTAGAATAGATTGTGCAGCTGTCTTTGATAACTAATCTAAACCAAACAAATTTCTCAACATTCCTTTCCCTCTTCCAAGAATTCAAGAAAATGTAAGTTCTGTATTTTAAACATTTGCTAGGTTAATACGTAGCTTGAATATTGATTCATCCAGCTCTATTTCTTTTCTCATCTTTCCTCAAAACTTCTTGGGTCCATATGGGGTAGGAAAAATTCTGAATTTCATTTTAAATTTGTAAAGTTAAGTGTAATAATAAGCTTAAATTTATATTATAAAATATACCAACCATTTTTTCAAAACAGTGATTTGTTCCAAAATGTCTCTTGCATGAGAACATAATAAACGTTTTGATAAAAATTGTGCTTGTGAAAAATTAGTTGGTCAGTGTCAAATGTAAAGGTTTCTATGTCAGGTGCCCAATACCTATCCAAAACAAAGGGGGACAAAACAGTAAACAACATCAATTTACATATTTGTATATATATATTTATATTATAAAATATACCAGCCATTTTTATATATATATACACACACACATACATATATTATATATATAGTGCCTTACACACAGGATACTGTCTCGGAGCATTGCACAGTGGCACCGAACTGGGGGTTAGTGGGTGGTGGTGACTATAGCTGCAGTTGAAGAGGTAGGTTTAAGGGTAGAATTTAGAGTGGGTGAGATGAGTAAATCTCACTGGTCTGCTTTAAGAAATATTCTCTGACCTGTATCAATGTAAATGTTTTCACTTTATCAGATGTTGTCACGGGTTCTAAATGCGATTGACCATTCTTTTGAACTGCATTCTGTCCCATGAAACTGATATTCATAGGGAATTGAATTAGGCTAGTAATATCCCATGCGCTCTAGGTGCTTTCAGCCATTAGAACTTTAACCCAGCTCCTGAATCTAGTCTGGATTTGGATCAGGTGTGAAGACTGGCTCCCATTTCTTAATTTGCTTCTTACTGTTAATGGTGAATGCATCGTGACCATTTATGTAAGGTTCTATAACATTTAAGCTTCTGTAACCAGTGTAAGTAAATTAATCAAAATTAATAACTGAAAAGGAAGTAATTAGTCTAATGCACCAAACTAATGCTTGGGTATGGTATGTGGGTTCTTCTCCATCCAAATACATGGATCATGGTATTAATTATTTATTAATTATGGTAAAGAAAGTTAACTGGGTGCTATCAATCAGATGCTATCAATATTTATAACATTTTGGTCTATGGATGGATGGAGTATGTTTATTTCTGCTGAAGGTCATGCATACAAAGTGATTAAAATGCTAATATGTAACAATATGCTTTTCTTTTAAAAGAATGACAACCAGCCGAGAGGCTTTGCAAGGGGGCTGGAACCAGAACGTATAATTGGTGCAACTGATTCAAGTGGAGAATTAATGTTTCTAATGAAATGGTAAGAATTTCATTTCTAAAGTATGATTGAGCTTCAATGTGGGTTAATATACAGCGCTAATATGAAACATTGGAAAATGATTTCTGATGGATTTTATTCTCTGATAAATCAACTAACTAACCTGTCAGAAAGATGTAGGGATGTGTGGGGGTGGGGTGGAAGAGAAGATAAATAAGGACTTTGGGTCTGAATTGGATCCAAAATACAAGTCATAATGGAAAATGATAATTCAGTCAGTCCTATGCCAGGCTCAGTGGTTCAATGCCTCTGCCAGGCTAGTCTGCACTGGTCTAGGGAACTAGAAGAGGGACCAGCCAACGTGACTTGTTGGTAGAATGTGAAGATCAAATGAGTTGCTGGGAATGGGATCATACAACTCTGCTCTTAATAACTCTGCAAGCTGAAGCCCTAATGGCTTGAGTGGTCAACATAATCAACCTCCCTCTCTGGCACTGATCTCCTCCTATTCAAAACCCCTGCAATCACCCTTCTCAAAAACATTTGACCTCGATCCCTACAAGTTCTCCAACTACTAGCCCATCTCCAACTGATCCTTCTTATGCAGTCCTGGAATGCATTATTACGACTCATCTTCGCTCCTACCTTTCATTCCACTCCCTACTTGGGACCTCCAGTCTGGTATCAGTCTTGAGTTTACAACAGAAGCTGATTGATGCAGCCATCTATTGCAGAGCACCATCTTAGCTGGTTATACTCCTGAAGTACCCAAATGCACAGTCTGGGGTCCTCCAAGACTTGACGACTGCCAACCTGCACCTAAATCTCTGGGAATAAATATTTTCCTATTTGTGGAACACTGCTGTGCACAATTGGCTGCTGTATTTTGCCCAAAAATATACAGTCTATCCACTTTACAATATATTCTGTGAAGCTCTTTGAGAAGTCTCAACGACGAGATAAGGCGCTATATCAAATGCAAAGATTATTATTTTGGATTGATAAGGATTAGGATTTTATGATCCATTAATGTTTAAAACATCTTTCTCTTGACTGAATTTCTTTCTTAATGATTCCCTGTATTGCACATTAGTTTTGGTTTTAAGACTTACAATACAAATGCGAGGGTCAAAATTTGAGCTGTAATTAAGCAGTTTAATGAGAGGAGTCGATCAGCTCTTTGCTGTGTTGCTTCAGTTCCTCCCAATTGGATTTGCACTGCATATGTACCTGGGGATTGTGCAGAGGCTGACTTGTGTGCCTCGAATTGTGTGTACAAAATGATATTTTCCCATGCCTCAGCTCTCTACGTATTCGTTGGATTGCTGGCATAAGTGACTGAAAGGTTTAGCTAGATCCACTTTTTGTGATAACACAGATTGCAGAATTCAAGTGGATAGCATTCTTAACATCTTCACTCCTCCTACGCTCAGCACATGTAATGTTATGGGTACAGCAGCCCTGGAAAATTTAATAGGTTTGAAGAAACCAATTGCAAGTCCTCGTCTGCTCCTCCAGGTGGTGTCAGAAGTGCAGCTCACAACTCTTAGTACTGCCTAGGACACCAATTATACATGGTCTAATTTGTGGTTTAATGGGTTTTATTAGTATTGAAAAGTTCATTTTCAAAGTTTTTACTAGATTTTGTAGCACGACACAGCCATTTCTCACATTAGTCATCTCATCTACCGTTAGTCGGATATCACTAGTGCAAATTAGCTGCAGCATTTGCCTACTCCAGTCTCTATGCTTAAAGAACTATTTTTCTATGAAGAGATGAGCTGTTTCAATCCTATTTAACTTTTCAATGATTTCCACATAGACTCAACTAATTTGAAGAATATATTTATCTGGAAAGTGATGGGATACCTCTATTATACTATTGTGGAGTCCTGTAGCTCAGTGGTTAGAGCACTCGCTTTGCAAGTGAGAGACCTGAGTTCAATTCCAGGCAGAGGGCGAAACCTTGGGCAAGTTTCCTTACTCCACACAGAGCCTAATAATAATCCCTCCAAAACTAAAAACAATAATTAAATTGGTCATTTTCAATCTACGACTGTTTGTGGGACATTGCTGTGCGCAATTGGCTGCCGCGTTCGCCCACAAATATACAGTCAATTCACTTTACAGTGTGTTCTGTGAAGCGCTTTGGGACGTCCTCCCGACGTGAAAAGCGCTATATCAAATGCAAGGATTATTATTATTATTATTATTATACCCGAAGCTAGTAGAAACATGACCATTGATACCATGAAGCCAATGGCTCAGTTGATGAAGCTACTTGTGTAGAATTGATACATATGGGCTTGGAAGGTCCTTGGTTTAAACCCAGTCCGTGCTGTTAATTGGCCTCCACACACCTGGATAGGGACAACAGTTTTCTATTAGCGTAGTGTCTCTCACAATTGGGAAGATGTTTCAAAGTGCTTCACAGGTTTAAAAGAGATCCTAAGATGGGCTTTAAAGGGAGCGAGGGTATGAAGCAGGGGGTCTTTGGAATGGGAGCAAAGCGGAGACAATGGGAAAAGGCAAGGACAGAGCCATGAAGGTGGAGCTGAGAGAAGAGGAGGTGGAGAAGAATAGAATAATCAAAGGTGTCAAAGACAGCAGAGAGATCAAGAACAACTAGGAGACCTGGTCACAAATGGGACAGAATGTCATTTGTAACGTTGATTAAGACTGTCTGTACTATGGGCATGGAGGAAACCAGATTGAAGAGTTTCAAATGGGGTGACAGAAGAGGAAAAAGCGAAGCTGGGAAGCAACAACTCATTCCAGGACCTTGGAAAGAAAGGAAAGTTTGGAAATGGGTCAATAGTTTGAAAAGAGAGATGGGTCAAAGGGAAGGGTTTTTGAGGGTGGTAGTGATGACAGCTGTTTTAGAGGGGGTGGGAATAGTGCCAGTAGACAGAGGTTTACCACAATGTCTGTTAGGGGTGCAAGACAGATAATAGTCTTGTCATTTTATCTATTACTAATATATACACATGTTTTTCTATTCCCTTTAGGAAGGATTCAGATGATGCAGACCTAGTCCCATCAAAGGAAGCAAATGTGAAGTGTCCACAGGTGGTGATTGCATTTTATGAAGAGAGGCTGACCTGGCATTCCTATTCTACAGATGATGAAGAGAACTAGCTATTGTTTGCTGTAAATGTGGAGAGTGTGATAGGGGAAAGTTGCAGCACATTTATGTTCAGAAGCACTGTTATTGTTGGTTTAGAAAGTTGTGCTAGAAATAACTTTGTCATCCGTTTCTTTTTTAATACGAATGGACATCAGGGGCAAACTTCAACTGAATGCTTTATGCATTGAGAGACTAGAACCCTTCTGTTGCTTTACTTTTGGGATATTGATTAAATCTGTCCATATCAAATCTGCTTTTTGGTTCTTTTCATTGATGGTAGAGCTGAGTCATATGTTTATTTGTTATTGACCAGTAAAATGTTTGCATGTCAGGCTTTTTTATATAAAAAACTTGGAAGGATCTGCAAGGTTGGTCTGTGCTGTCACACTGATTGGCTTTCAGGCCACCCTTTTGAACCCAGTCTGCTTAGACTGTTTTTGTAACCGAAAACCTTAGGGAGTTTTTTTGTGCTCCAAGTGAAAAATGAAGCACAATGACTTAATGCCTGGAGAAACTATCCATTTGATTCCTTTTGCAGCATGTTTTGGCTTGGCACTTGATTCATTGTTTCTGGCTTTTAAATATGTTAGCCAAATATTCATAGTTTCAGTCACTTGGAATGTAGCATTCTGTTTGTACTTCATAAATGTGCAGTTTAAAAATATGATTTGCAAAGTACTGTTTTCGTAGTTATTATTCACCAGATTTTGAATGCTTCAAACAACCCAAGGAATTGACTGATCAACTGCTTCAGACTTAAGTCACCTGATACAATGCAACTGCTGAACTCATCTGAAGTACATGATTAGTTTGTTAAGAAGCCGTTTGACAATAATGGTCATTTGTACATTGCAGGCTGTAACTGTTCTGGGTTTGCTCTCTTGATTTACAATAACTTGTGTATGATGATGAGGTAGCTGATCAACTCAATGCAAAATTTGGGATATAAACTTGAGTTGGTGTGGTGGTGTGTCCTCAAATTAAAGAATTGTGACATTTTGCAATGCGCAGGTTGGTTCAAAAACTGAACTCATTTAATTTATGACTTTAAACTTGATGGACAATATTTTTCTGTTGACTACTCGGGTGGTATTGCCCAATTTCTTCAGTTGAGGTGATGTGATTTGAATCGGTTACTTAGTGTTAAATGTTTAATAAAGCTTTGTCTTTTGAATAAAAATGTATCCTTATTTTCATAGTATCAAGTCAACCAGTTTCTGGTTAACTATAGTTAACTTGTACTTTAATATACTGTGACCTGGTGTCATAAATAAGTGAAATATCAACAAACACAACTATAAGTTAACAAACATTTATCACACTTAAACTACACATGCTAGCAGCCATTTGTAATGAAGTTAATGTAAAGTGCACCAAGAAGCGACCTCTGACTACTACTCATCAATAGCCAGAACACGTTCCTTTTGTTGTCATCCTACCCTGTTGGGTAGAAAAATAGCGACCACGAGCACGCGGCACTTGTTCTTTTATGGGCAGTGAGCCCCTTCCTGAGTTAGGGCAGCCAATGGGAATTGTATTGCACCAGATACTTGATGTAATTGGTGCCTTTTTTATGGTCCAATCAGAACCTCCCCTCAGTTGCCCAATAGGGGACAAGTACACTTCCCCGATTGGCATCGCATGTTAGAATGGTAAGTTACCCGCCAAATACTAACCACACTTACACTGGCTAATACATTTAGCGAACACATACAATTTACAGAACATTTTTTAAACAACAGACAGGCATAGAAAACAAAGGGACGACTCTGACACTCCCCACCCGCCACCTCTGTGTGGGCTGGCTGCAGCCTCCTGCTCATCCCCTCCACTCCACTATCTGCAGCCGTGCTTTCAGCCACTACACCCCAAAACTTTGGAACTCTCCCTCAATTCCTCTGCCTTGCCCCCTCCTCCCTCTTTTTCAGATCACGCCTGAAGTCCTTCCTCTTCGTCCGTGATTACGGTCACCTCCCCCGGCTTGCCTTCAGTTCTGACGCTACACTGTGTGAAAGGTACTTCATAAGTTGCTGTTTCAGTGCATGTTAATTGTCCAACCTCTACTGAGCTCATCTGTCATATAACAACTTGTATAGTACCTTTCACACTGGGTGAGTGCCAAGGAGGGGAGATGAGGGTGCGGAGTAAGGTCAGGTTGAAAGCTTTGAAGGTGGTGAGAAAGCAGATGGATCTGGAAAAGAACTTCATAGGACAAGTGCATATTATTTGAAGGCTCAGGCAACAATGGAGAAAGTAAGGGAGTAGCATTGTCAGAAGGCAGGAGGATAGAGCTAAAGGAGATTGCAAAAGAACAAGATCAAGGACGAAATGTATATTGTTCTATTTTGAAATAATAGTTTTATCTAGTTGAGCCAGAACAGTATGTTTTAACTTGTATACTGCTATCAATGTCATCAGTTTACCAAGTTGCATCTTCACGCTTGGTACTTGTAAAACCTGTGAGGTGTTGGGCCCTTTATCAATTGTTTCAGAAAGCTAGCCTTGTTTTAGTCACATGTACAGTTGGCATCAAACAACAAAAATTACATTTGTAAAGCTCCTTTCATGTCAGGAGAACATCCAAGGTGTTGAAAGAATGAAACCATCTACCTTGTATTGTGGAAATTGAATGCACTGCAACGTGTTACACATAAAATATATTTTTTAGTGCATGTCTCTGGTTTGTTGGCCATTTAGATTATTTAAATTTTTCTTGTAGAAATATCCATTGTTTAAACAGTATTTTGCATTTTTGGCTGTTTGTGAGACCTTTCTGTATGCAAAATGGCTGCTGCACTTGGCTACCGCAGTGATCAGGAGTAATCAGGAAAATTCCCAAGTACCCTGTGAATACTTCCTGAGCATCACAATGAATAGCTTCCATTGTTTACCACCCGATATAGTCGAGTTCAGATCAACAAAGTTTTTAAATGTTTTATGCTTTTTGGAACTCCCACAAATTGGTGCCCCCATTTCACATGGCAGTCCTGAGCCCTTTCAGGGAGTCAAATGACATTTGGAATTTTTACATTATTACTTGCTATAAAAATACAAGTTCTTGCTGAGCTTATTGATCTTACCCAGGTCTTCCTGACTAAAACCCTTGGAATCTCTGCACATGGAGGGGAGATTAAGCCACACTTGATGTTTCTGATATGAAGTTGTATGTATGAATACTGTGAGAATAGATTTGGTTCCAGTGTGACTATTCTCTTCAGTGCTTTCCTGATGCTTAATTATCTATTTGAATGCTCGAGGGCTGCTACTATCTGTTGAGCTGTATGCAATATGAATCGATGCCTTTGGTAGTGGAGGATAATTTTAGTCGTAGGAAGGAGCAAATTGAATTTTTTTTAAAGAAAAGGTTTCCTTCTTGGGAAATCTTTGTGGTTAGTTAAGCCCACCTCTTTCCCCCTATTTAAAAACGAGGATTTTCTCAAATATAATCTGAAATGTGAAACATGCCCTACAGCCAACCACACAAACATTGGGTGTAGCAACCACAACAAATTCTGCACATCAGTATTCCTGAAACTATAAATGCCCCAAATACTGTGCTGGAATTAACTGGAATGGCAAAAATATTTTTGTTTTATATTGTCTCTTGTGTTAATGTCTCGAAGTACATCACAAAGTTAGAAATTTAGAAATCTACGGTGTTGAAGGAGACCATTAAGCCCATCAAGCCTGTGGAGTGGAGTCCTGTAGCTCAGTGGTTAGAGCACTTGCTTTGCAAGCGAGAGACCTGAGTTCAATTCCAGGCAGGGCGAAACCTTGGGCAAGTTTCCTTACTCCACACGCCTAATAATAATCCCTCCAAAACCAAAACCAATAATAAATTGGTCATTTTCAATCTACGACTGTTTGTGGGACATTGCTGTGCGCAATTGGCTGCCGCGTTCGCCCACAAATTTACAGTCAATTCACTTTACAGTGTGTTCTGTGAAGCGCTTTGGGACGTCCTTCCGACGTGAAAAGCGCTATATCAAATGCAAGGATTATTTTTATTTAAGCCTCGCTGGCTCACAGCAAGGATATTGCTGTAATGCCACTGCCCTGCTTTAACCCCAAATGCCTTCAAGACCTTTCTTTTCTGTCTTAGCCTTTGAAAGAGTGAGTTTTTGAAATGTTGATTGATGTAGAAGCTAATATTCAACAGCAATGAAAGGTATGTTGAGTTTCTCCAGTTGTGAATTTGGATAAGGGAGAAATATTGGTCAAGTCACTGGGGAAAACTCGCGCTCTTAAATTATGTGATGAGACCTTAATATGTACCTAAACTACTGTAACAATCAGATGGGATCTCAGTTTAATCACATCCAAAATGATGGCACAGTCAACAATGCAACACCCCATCTAGAGGACTCTCTGTCTTCTACACTGGAGTGTTAACCACAAGATTTTGGCTCACATTGTATTGTCAGAAGCTTCTGACACAGAGTTTGAGAGTGACAGGATCTGAGTTAAACTAGCAGCTGGTACCATAGCTGCTTTATTCCGTTCCGAATGCATTTCGGAAATTCATTTGGAACGTATCAGAAGCTACTCCATATGTAAATCCACTCTTAAGGTTTTTTGTCTTCTAAGTCTTTACACAATGGGCCAAATGGTCTCTTCTCTGCTGTAATTTTCAAAATAAATTCTAAGTGATAGTAGGTAGCTTAATATTCATAACATTTCCTGCCAAGTGTATGTTATAAATAATGAGATTTCTGTTCTATCCAATTGTCAGCAAAAATAATGTGTAATTTCAGCAACTCACATATACTTAAGATGATGTGGTTTCTAGAGTCTGAACCACAATAAAAGAGAACTAAACTATAGGCCCAAACCTGTCCTGAAACATAGTCAAACCTAAAACATTCTTACGAGCAGAGACAAAGATAACTGTGCCTATTTTCATTGGAACAGAGAAGTTGAAGACAGGTCTGATATGAGGGATTTTAATAGAGTGGATGGGAAGAAATTATTTCCACTGGCTAATGAGTATATGACTAGAGGAAAACAATTTTAAGACTGTTACCGACGAAGCAAAGGGGACAATTAAGGGGAAGTTTTCTTTACACCGAGAGAGGATGTGGAATGCTCTAGCGGATGTGGTAGTCAAAGCAGGATCCAAAATCTAAAAAGGAATAATTTACACGCCTATGAGGAAAAGTTAGGGAAATGGGACTGAATGGATTGCTCTTTCAAAATGGTAGCATGGAGGCAATGATGTGCTATACTTTAATTACATAGTTCTCGGGAAACACTTCAAAGATGACGGGTTTCCATGAGGAATCAAATTTCTGCTGGAAAGAACTGTGGCAGATTTTTCCCTCCCTAACCTAGAACATTGAGGACACCTTTAGCTCCTCATCCTTCTATGTCTGGGGTCCCTACCCCCGCTGGGATCAGCAGACATGGAAAAGACCAGGGAAGAAAACTGGTACTGCCTTATCTGTAATTCCCTAACACAACACGGAATGTTTTCTCTTCTGAGCTCGAAAGCCATCAACTCTTAATGTATTCCTATCTCTGTGAATCAATGGATAGATTTAGACTTCAAACTGACAATTAGTTACTATGGTCATTTCATAGCTAACAGAAAACTATATTATTACTATATTACCTACAGGATGTCTTGTAATGTTAGTTTCAAGCATTATCTGCTTTTCTGAATATAATCTTAATTATTTTTATAGCAGCCAACTTGTCCAGGAATCTAGTGTGAGCCTAGATGGTGAGTGTTGACAATAATGGGGAGACCGTTTTATTAATAATAATCCTTGCATTTGATATAGCGCTTTATCATGTCATCAAGACGTCTCAAAGCGCTTCACAGAATATACTGTAAAGTGAATTAACTGTATATTTTGTGGGCAGCCAATTGCTCACAGCAGTGTCCTACAAACAATCGTGAATTGAGTGACCAANTTTTTTAAAGGAATTATTACCCCTGGAAAAGCGATCCACCGATCGACTAACAACCTGGTTCCAACTCAATGCTAAGTAAACAGAGATGTATGGAGTAAGGAAACTTGCCCAAATTTGCGCCCCCGCAAATTGATTTTTGATTTTTCGCTTGCTAGGCGAGTGCTCTAACCACTAAGCTACAGGACATGTTGATCAAAAGCAAAGCTTTCATCTATTTGCACCTGCACTTTTCAGCAGATGGCCACCACATCCCCAGTCACAAAA